TTTTTTTTTTTTTTGTGGTGGGGGGGGGGGGGTGGGGGGGTGTTTCTGTGCGTTGCCCAGTATAGGCTGCTGTGCTTGGCTATCTAAAACTGTGCCTTGAACTTAGCTGCCGGCGAGGGGAGGGGGCTTCTCCTGATCAGATGAGGGGCAGAGGGGAAGTGTTTACACACACGCGCACACATACACACACGCCACTCACATCTCAGGCATGAGCATGTGAAATGGAGGAACCATCGCTTTGGAGGAAAAAAAAATCAGACTGTAGCTCGGAAAGGGGTGGTGGGTGTTTAAGGAGTTAACACTATCGCTTGGTAGATGGTGTGTGATTTCACTTATTTACAGAAATATGTAAGGGGTGTGTATTTATGCGTGTGCTTATATATTAAATATGCATATATATGCTGATCGAAGGAGGCAGTGCTTCTGTAGCTGGAGGAGGGGAAAGAGACCCTCTGAAAGAAAGAGTGAAAGGTGCCAAGCTTATTGCAGCCACTGAAATAATGCCAGAAGTCCCCCCATAAGGTGGGGGGACCCCTCTCCTCTCCTGCTCTGGACCCCTCTAATTGCCTCTCTTTGCAGTCTGCCATGCTGGGCTGGTGGTCTACACTCCCCCAATCCTGGAACTTTCTAGCCTGCCTTTTTTTCTGTTCCTTCAATTGCCCCCTCTTCTTCGGTTTGCTGCCCACAGACATCGTCTCCGTTTTACACACACACACACACACACACACACACACACAAACCCACATACACATGCCCTTAGCCGTCCTCATCACTGGGCTCCATCCTCTCAACTTGGAGGCAGGCTTCAACATGCTGCATGCCTTTTTGTTTCCCATCTCCCCGTTTTGGTCGCTGTGCTTCTAAAAGGCCTCCCACCCTCACTGTGTTTATGGGGGAGCTGACAGATAGCACTACTCCTCATGATCATGGGGAAAAGAGAAACAAACAGGAACAATAACACCCGAAACAAAGCATGTCCACAAGAGCTCGGGGCTCCAGTGTGACCAGCATTCCGTGCTGCTTGTGTCCCGGAACCAAGAGAGTTGCTTTTCTTGAAGGCATGTTGGTTGGTTTGGTTTTTGTTTTCTGCCCCCTGATAGGGAGCTAGCTCCAGCAGGGAAAGTTCCCCTTGCTGGGAATGTGTGTGGGTGGGGGGGGGGTGGATGTGGTGCAGTTGGTGTTTTGTCAGGCACACGTGTGCTGCAGTACTTACCTCTTTCGGCCACTCCAGCTAGCTGGCTCTGAGGGCAGCTGGAGTGGCTGTGGAATAACTTGCTTTGTTTCCTGACACCTGTTAAGCTGCACTCTGGAGTGTGTATATGGTTGCTAGTGCCTTATACGCGAAACTTCCTGCCTTTGGGAACACTTCCCTTGCAGCCCAGCCTGCAGCCTTCTACCTCCCCACCTCCCACCCTTTTCTTTCATTCATTGCAGAGGAGGAACAAGGGGACAGGGAAGTGTTTGGGGTGTGGTCATCTGGGAGGGGAGGGTGGAACATCAGCATCTAGAATGATTTTCGGCTGTTTTTACTCTATAAACCAGGGGCATATGTACATGTGGAAATTGCTTGCTCTAGTTGTGGCATTGTTTATGTTTGTACCACACCTCGCTGACTGGAAATGCCTTTCTAGAGATAAGTGTACCTGCTGTCTCCAAATATATTTGTGTAGATCACCATGGTTATAAATGCATGGGGATTTTGTGTAGGTGAATATGGCATATTTGCTCATGTATCTCTGCAGATTTTTCATCATGTTTAGTTCCAACTTGCTTGCTCAACTGATAAAACCATTGTACTGTTTTCATATAAAAGATTGAAACATTCAATTATAGAACAAATGCTGAAAATGTTGCTGCCATCAGGTAGTACTTGATTCTACTTGTGATCGCTAACAAAAGCCTGGTGGTTCATTTATTGGTTCTTAAAAGCAAACACCTACCCACTATATAAGAAGTTAGAAGTGTATTACGCTGGGACTGAGATTCCTGTTGGATCTGAGATAAACTTCTGTGTAAACATTCATTATAGTTCACTCTCTGAAAATGGATGAATTTAATTCACAGAAATGTACTCTAATTTATTTATATATCCACAATAAATACAAAGGTAAGCCATGTACTCTTGGTTCCTGACTGGTACCTTTATTGTGCTTTTTACTAGATGTCCCTTTCCTCTTGACTTTCCAAGACCCCACATTTCTGAAGCACACAGACCCATCACACAAACACACAATGGTAATCTCTTATATAACAAGTCATTCCTAGTAGCTAGGATCATGAGTGGTAAAAGTAAAAGCAAGCCACTGTTTCCAGAAAATCAGGAGTTTTCAGTGGAAACGAGTAACAAACCCTAAAGGCAATAGAACAGTTAAATTGTATGCAGTCCAAAAGACTGAAAGTGTCAAAACAAATGGCTATAGTGTGGGGTAAAGCCCACAGGGTCTCTGAGCTAGATTTCAGTCACTCTGTACCATTTATTAGCATCTTCTTCCTATAAGGCCCTATTATGAGAGATGGGGCTGATATAAGACCAATTAGACACGGGGAAGGTTAATGTTTATGCAAAAGAAAAGACTTCTCAGATGGGAGGAGGAAGAGGAATGCTATGAGTCTCCTGTCCTCTCTGACCTTAACTGAGTTGAGGGGTACACAATCCAATGTTTGAGGAGAGTGATAGATGTAGAGGCCCTTCTCACATAAAAGCTCATCTCTAGAAGCTTACACCTCAGCATCCTCTTTGAACTTTCATCCCCTGCTCTAACATCTACAACTAGTGAGTTTGGCATGGGGAGAAGATAAGAGCTCATCTGGGGTGGGCTATTGAGGAACTAAAATTTGTATCTAGCCAAGAAACCATGTTGCATTTTCTTTCCTCATAGGGGGATTATTTCCAAACCAGCAGTCACAAGAACATGCCGCATTTAGATTTGCTTTGTCACAACTCACTGAGCCCCCAAAGCTGCTCCCCCAGATTGATATTGTGAACATCAGTGACAGCTTTGAGATGACCTATAGATGTAAGTAATTGCTTCTATTTCTGAGACTTCTTTTTGCGCTAGACCAACAAAATGGGGACCTGTGGGTAGGTGGTGGTGTTGCAAAAATGGCTTGGAGTTGTCATTTGTCTTCATAAGAGAAGTCCCTCCAAGAAAAATTTCCAGAGCCTTTTGAGTGATTCCAGCAGTTGGTATTTTAGATCTTGCAATGCTTCATGGAATGGGTTTGCTTTTTCACTGTCAGCTAACTTTAAATGCCAGCACACTGGGTATTTGGGTTGATTGCATTTCCTTTACCTCACGGAGGTTTTCTGGTTCAGCCAAGAGTTTCACACACAGAAAACTTATGAGAAATAGAATTAAAGGTTCTGGCTTTCTGAGAATGTGGTTTAAAATGTTTAAGCCATTTCTTGTTCACAAGATAAAAGTAGAAAATGTTCCTGTAGCTAGGTAAGAAAGAGCAGGTATGAATTATATATGATGTCTGGTTTTCCTATTTTGGAAGTGACCAATAGTTATTCAAATTTGTTGGCCTTGATTATTTCCAGGGTAGTTGGAAGTGATTGCTCATTGTAGATTGTAGGATGGCTTTTGAGTATTAAACAGAACAGAGTGACCTCAAGAAGAAGAAATAGATAAATCTCTGACATCTGAATTGAATGCATTATAAAGTACGGGCAACAAGCACCATTCTGAGTTTTCCTGACAACTAAGACTGAAGGGAAACCTGTGTGGTTGCATGATTATCATTTTATGACAGATGAAACCATAAAAATTAATCAGTAGAGACATTTTCCCTCCAGGGATAAAGCTCAAGTAGGAATTTATGATAGGGAAATGTGAGTTGAATGGGCAAGGACAATTTGAGACCTAAAACTGGACTAAATTGGCACCATAGGCTTCGTGTGCCATTGTTGATTTGGTGACTTCTGCTGCACCATGGATGGTTGAAGGCAACGCCCAT